AGAGAAATTAAGGGGAAAATCCAATTTACTAGAGCAACAAGAAAAATAAAGTACCTAGTAATAAATTTAACCAGGGAGGTAAAAGACTTGTACTCAGAAAACTACAGAACACCGAACAAAGAAATTGAGAATGATACAAATAAATGGAAGCATATACCATGTGCATGGATTGGGAAAACAACATCATTAAAATGTCCATACTATCCAAAGCAATCTATAGACTTCAATACAATTCCTATTAAAATATCAATGGCATAGTTCACAGGTCTAGAACAAATACTGCAAAAATGTATATGCAATAAAAAAGAGCCTGAAAAGCCTCAGCAGTCTGACAGAGTCCTTGAGAAAGAACAAAAAAGGAGGCATCACAGTACCTGATATCCAACTATATGACAAGGCCACTGTAATCAAAACAGTCTGTTAATGGCATAAGAAGAGACACATAGATCAATGGAACAGAATAGAGAGCCCAGAGATAAACCCATGTCTCTATGGTCAATTAATATTTGACAAAAGGGGATATGAGCATACAATGGAGTAAAAATAGTCTCTTCAATAAATTGTGTTGGAAGAACTGGATTGATACATGCAAAAACAGGAAACTAGACCACTGACTTACACCATACACCAGAATAAAAGGCAAATACAAGTTGTGACACCATGAAGTCCTAGAAGAAAACATAGGCAGCAAAATTTCAGATATTCCACATAGCAATATGTTTGCTGATATGTCTCCTAGAGCAAGGAAAATAAAGGAAAAAAATAAATAAATAGGACTACATCAAATTAAAAACTTCTCCATGGCTAAAGAAACCATCATCAAAATGAAAAGGGAACTGACCATATGGGAGAACATATTTGCCAATGATGCATCAGACAAAGGTTTGATCAACAAAATACAAAGAACTCATATGACTCAACACCAAGAAGACAAACAATCCAATCAAAAAATGGGCAAAGGACCTGAATAGGCACTTCTCTAAGAAGGACATACAGATGGCCCCTGGACATATGAAAAGATGCTCAATATCACTAGTCATCAGAGAGATATAAATTAAAACCACGATGAGATTATCACCTCATATCTGGCAGAATGGCTGTCATTAATAAATCAACAAATAACAAGTGGTGACAAGGATGAGGGACAAGGGAACTCCAGTGCACTGTTGGTGGGAATGCAGACTGGTGCAACCACTGTGGAAAACAGTATGGAATTTCGTTAAAAAACTAAAAATGGAGCTGCCTTTTGACCCAGCAATTCTGCTGCTGGGAATATACCCTAAGAATTCCAAATGACCAATTCTAAAGAACTTAGGTGCCTCTATGTTCATAGCAACACTATTTATAATAGCCAAGTATTGGAAACAGCCTAAGTGCCCATCAGTAAATGAGTGGATCAAAAAACTATGGTACATTTACACAATGGAATATGACGCAGTAGAAAGGAGGAGCTCCTACCCTTCCTGACAACATGGATGGAACTGGAGAGCATTATGCTAAGTGAAATAAGCCAGTCAGTGAAAGAGAAACACCATATGATCCCACCTATAAGAGGATTCTAATGAACAAAATAAACTAATGAACAAAACAGAATGAGCAGACTGTTGGAACAGACTGACAGTGACCAGAAAGGAAGGTGAAGGAGAATAAAGGTGGAAAGAAGTGGAAGGGACTGGTCAAACAACATATATGAATGACCCACGGATACGAACAACAGTGAGGGGATTGACTGCTGGAGCGTGGGGTGGACTGTGTAAAGGAGAGCATAGGAGGGAACAACTGTAATAGAGTAACAATAAATTTTTTTTAAAGGAACAGCTTTTAGGTGCTAGATCTTGTACCTTGTAACTTTGCTGAATTCATTTATTAACTGTAAAAGAAGTGGATAAATGAATATGGATTTTTTGAGATTTCTTATTTTTAAGATCATGTCATTTGTTGCCCTGACCAGTGTGGCTCAGTTGGTTGGGTGTCAACCTGCAAAGCAAGGGGTTGCTGGTTTGATTCCCAATTGCAACGCATGCCTGGTGGTGGGTTCCATCCCTGGTTGGCTCATGTGAAAAAAGGCAACTGATGGATGTTTCTCTCCCTCTCCCTTCCCCTCCCTCTAAAAATAAATTTAAAAATATTTTTAAAAGGAAAATATTTTTTAAAAAAGATCATGTCATCTGTAAACAAAGAGTTTTACTTCTTCCCTTCCAATTTAGATGTCTTAATTACTTTGGTTAGAAGTTACTATATACAATGTCAGACAGCAGTGGTAAGAGGTAGACATCCTTGCCTTGTCCCTAATCTTGGGGAGAAACCTTTCAGTCTTTCCCCATTGAGTACAATGTTATGTGTAGATATTTCATAAATGCCCATTATCCTGTTAAGGAGATTCCCTTCTATTCTTAGCCTTCTGAGTGCTAGATGATCAGAGGTGTGTGTGTGTGTGTGTGTGTGTGTGTGTATTTTTTTATATAACAACCAGCATATTATGAACTGTATTTGCTATACTGAAGGCAAAAACAAACAAAACAAAAAAAGTAATCAAAATAGCATGTTTTCCTTCATGGCACTTTCCACACTGGTCGGCTAATGTAGAATAATATATGGGTTCAAATAGGTAAAACAAAAAGTAACCTATATCCAGTCATTTAATGTACATATTACTGATAAAAATGTGAACTGAAACATTTTCAACTTAATCTATTCTTTTGACCTCTTCACATCTAATGTCATCTTAGTTACTTACTGTTTCTCTTCTAAACTTAAGTCACAAGTATCAGTTTAACAATAGAACTCGTCACATAAATATTAATAATTTTAAATACATTTCATATTTCAAATCATAATAAGGAAAGTACTACTTACTACCATACTAGTTGATGTAGCCTTATGTTAACAAAATAGGATCCATTTCTCAATTCCTATTATAGGGAAGGGATTTGTAAGGAAAGAAAGAGAAAGGCTATATGTTACATCATTTTAGAGCTGCAGGCAGACCATAGTTTCCCAGATAGTTAAGAACAAGAAATTCCTGATTGCCTCTGCAGAAACCAGAGCAAAAACAAAAGAAACAGTAAGTCCAGTTTCCCATACAGTTTTCAATTCATTAATTCATTCCAATTACAACCTATCAAATACCTTTTAAACCTGTCTCTTGGATAATCTAGCTCTATTTGTTACAAGGCACTAGAAAACTTCTCCAGTGCCTAGTGTGGATTCTGTGGTAACTTATTTTTCAAAAAATCCCTATTTGAATCTCCTGGGTTGGGAGTAAATCTAGTTTGGGGTGACAACAGCTCTTCTGGAGCTGCTTGGGCACTTTGGAAGAGTAAGTAGAATAGGAGCAATCAAGTACAGTAATTTCCAACATGCAAAGACATTATAATAGAAAACTCAAATTCTGTCTTTTCCCCATTGTCAAATTTATAACCATTCTGTATGAGCCCTAGCTTCTATTTTTTAAAGTCAGAACTAGAAAGACTAGAAAGGATGATGTCTTTCCCCTTCTCCTCTGTGACAGAAATCTGACCAACTTCTCTCTCGCTTTTGTACACATATGTTGCACTGCCCTCTACTTTATTCTCTCTCTACTTAAAATCCTACCTAATCTCTCTCTACCTGTTAAATAGACCAACTGGCTAGAATTTTTAAAGCCAAAATTCAATTCTAGGTAGATGTCAGAAGAAATTAATGTGGATTTGTCCTTTACTGAAATGTTAATAGAGAAAATAATTTTATTTAACATACAACTACTATGTACCAGGTGCTATGTTTCAAGCTTTACAAGTACTAACCCATTTAATCACCAGAACAACCCTATGGGGTAGATATTCTAATTTAAATTAAACTGAGGCAAAGAGAGGCCCAATCGGACAGATATATATTGAGTTACAGAGCTGAGATTCAAACAATGAAAGTCCGATTACTGAGTTTGAGCTCAACCACTATGCTAAGCTGACCTTCATGTATAAACTGTGTTGTTTGTATCGCCAGGATCAAGCAGATTATCACTCAGTTATTTTTTAATTAGGTTTTTCTTATAATGGAGACTAGGTACAAATTTCACTTAATTAGAGATATGAGATCTTAAAGGTATTAATTCCACACTGCTCTTTTTACAGATGAAGAAACAGATCCAGGGAGTGCTAAATAACATTTTAGTATTATATTCTAGTGGTCTATTCTAATGCCTTTTACAATTTAACATGCTTATTACTTTACACTTTACGCTTTTATCATTACAAATAGGTAATCATTGATAGGAGTTCCTGGTTTCTGTTTTCTTTTTCTTAGAGAATGTTGACCTTTATCTGCTGAATTTATGTATATCCTCAAATTCAATTTTTGAACTGAATCTTTACTTAAATTCAATCTTTAGATCTTATCAAAAGAGAAAGATTTGCCAGCCTTCACATTATTTTCAAATTCATAAAAATTTACCAAACCCAAAACAGTTCACAGAACCTCCTAGATGCTTTTAACTTCATACCAGCACCTAATCGTCTCACTGCACATCCTGCTACAGTAACACTTATCTAAACATTTCCTTCGGTTATTCTACCCAACAGTTTTACTTTCACTGATATGCTTTCCTTAACTATCAACCACACATAATCAGAATTATTTTTTATATTATGGCATTTTCTACTGATATTCATAGAAGTTAGTAAAAGAAGTCAATAAAATTACTTGAAATTAAAGTAATTACAAAAACTATTTTTACTAGAATTAAAATTTTTCAGAGTAATTTAAATATGGGACAAAGGCAGACACCCCCCAAAATTACATTTTGAATTCAAGGAATGGATAGTATATATGTAAACAACATTTGACAAGGATAACACATTAATGATATATGTGCCTTGTTCATACACTGCTAGTTTAATGAAAATTGATGCAACCTTTCTGGAAAGCATTTTTGTCTATACATAAAAGAGCTCTAAATGTTCTAAATGCGTACACATTGACCCAGTAATCTCTCTCCTAGAATTCTTTTTTTTTCTTTACAGTGTGTACAGGTAAGCCCTGGCTGCCTCCATACCTCAACCCACTCCCAGGAAGACCAAAAAACCTTCACGCATCTCAAGGTGAGGACAAAAGGGGGAGCCATGATGGCTGACCATTCAAAATACAACAAAAAGGACAAGTATTAAGGTGAAGATAAAAAAAATTTGGATTACATAATTTACACAAAACAATGCTATCATCCCTCCCCTGTGTGGATGCTGGCAAGGGCTGGCCCTTCTTAGGGAGAAGTGGGTATCTTTGGAGAAGGCAAGGGACTTCCTGTAACAATGCATCTCACGGATATTTGGAATGACTACTTTAAAAAATGAACACTGTACAATCAAAGTCCTTGGCCACACTATAGAACTTTGGGGATGCTCGCTCCAATGGACTGCTGTCACCTTCACTGTTCCAGTTTTTAAATCCTGAGTCAAGCACCAGAAAAAAAATCAAACAAACAAAGCCATATGGATCTTATATCATTTTCTGCTTCTGCCAGTGCAAATTAGGTTTTATAAAGAAAGAGTGTAATCAACTAAGTAACCGTTTGTCTAAAGCATTTGCTGTAGTCAATGGAGGGGCGGGGCTTGTCACACTCCTGCTTGCTGATCCACATCTGCTGGAAGGTGGAGAGGGAGGGCAGGATGGAGCCACGGATCCACATAGAGTACTTGTACTCAGGGAGCGCACTGATTTTGATCATCATGCAGTGAGCCAGGGCTGTGATCTCCTTTTGCATCCTATTGGTGATGCCTGGGTACATGGTGGTCCTGCCACAGAAGTCCTCATGGATGTTAATGTCACACTTTATGGTGGAGTGGAGGGTAGTTCTGTAGCTGCCATAGGATTCCATGCCCAGGAAGGAAGCCTGGAAGTGGGCCTCTGGGCAGCAGAACCTCTTGTTGCCAGTGGTGATGGCTGGCCAGTGGGGCAGCTTATAGCTCTTCTCCAGGGAGGAAGAAGATACAGCCATGGTCATCTCCTGCTTGAAGTCCAGGGCAATGTAGCCCAGCTTCTTGATGTCACATATGATTTCTCACTCGGCTGTGGTGGTGAAGCTGTAGCCACGCTCCTTAAGGAGCTTCATGAGGTAGTCAGTCAGGTCCTGACCAGCCGGGTCCAGATGCAGGATGGCACGAAGGAAGGCACAGCCCTTGCACATGGACACACTGTGGGTCACCCTGTCACCACCACAATGTCAGTGGTGCAGCCAGAGGTATACAGGGACAGCATGGCCTGGATGGCCACATACATGGCGGGTGTGTTGAAGGTCTCGAATATGATCTGGGTCATCTTCTCACAATTGGCCTTAGGGTTCCAGGGGCCTCAGTGAGCAGGATGGGAGCTCCTTTGAGGGCCACATGCAGCTCACTGTGATGCCAGATCTTCTCCATGTCGTCCCATTTGGTGACAATGCCATGTTCAATGGGGTACTTCAGGGTCAGGAAGCCTCTCTTGTTCTGGGCCTCATCGCCTACACAGGATTCCTTCTGGCCCATGCCCACCATCATGCCCTGGGGCCAGGTGGCATCCCACAATGGAGGGAAAGCTGGCCTTACACATACTGGAGCCACTGTTGACCACAAGTGCAGCAGTATCATCACCCATGACAAGCTGGAGGTGGAGTAGACCAGCAAAGGTGGAAGAGCGGTGGAGGCAAGAGGCCTGTGCCAGTGGGTGGACAAAATCTTAGCAGTTTTCCTAAAATTCTCTACTAATTCTATACTATTAGATGAGCCAAAAAGTACATTATGATTTTTTTCTGTAAAATAAGATATATTTACATTTTTCATTTTCACAATAACTTTATTGATTTGGATATTTTGAGTATGTTGGCTATCTCCTGCTATTGGCTTCTAGTAGGTAGAGACCAGGGGTGCTGCAAAACATCTTCCAATGCAGGACTTCTGGCCAAGATGGAGGCATACATGGAAACATAGTGCCTTCTCGCACAACCAAATTTAAGGACAACAAAGATTTTGAAACAAAAATACAACCAGAACAGACAGAAAACTGAACTGTACTGAAGTCTAACAACGACTAACCATTCATCCAGACTGGTAAGAGGAGCAGAGTCGGTGGCTGGAGGAAAGGGGTCCCGACGGAAAAAAGCAGTGGCTGGAACCAGGGCGCAGGGAGGAAATGAGCAAACCCAGTGAGGCGCGCAAGGCGGTTGGCTGACCGTGGACACACATTTGCTCACAGATAAACCAGGCAAAAAACGGGCAGTGAGATAAACTGCGCAACCCAGGGCCCCAGCAAGGGGAAATAAAGCCTAAAAGCACCAATTAGAAAAACTTGCAGGGGTTGAGGTGCTGGGAGAGACTCCCAGCCTCACAGGAGAGTCCACTGGAGAGACCCACAGGGTCCTAGAATGTATACAAGCTCACCTACCCGGGGAACCAGCACCAGAAGGGCCCAAATTGCTTGTGGGAAGTGACAGAGGGGACTGAAATCCAAGAGAGAGCAGAGCAAGCACCATTGTTCCCTCTCTGACCCTTCCCCCACATACAGTGTCACAACCAAACCACCTGGGTTGACTTGCCCTAGTGAACACCTAAGGCTCCGCCCTTCAGTAACACCCACGACCTGACCAAAAAATTATGGCTCAATTGGAAGAACTAATCAAAGCTCCAGAGCCAATACTTTTAAACAACCAAAATATAGCCAACCTATCAGATGCATAATTCAAAATACTGGTGATCAGGATACTCACAGAACTGGTTGATTTTAGTCACAAATTAGAGGAACAAATGAAGGCTAAACTAAGTGAAATGAAGGAAAATGCACAGGAAACCAATAGTGATGGAAAGAAAACTGGGACCCACATCAATGGAGTGGACCAGAAGGAAGAAAGAAACAACCAAACAGAAAAGAATGAAAAAACAAGAATTCAAAAAAATGAGGAGAGGCTTAGGAACCTTCAGGGCATCTTTAAACATTCCAACATCTGAATTATAGGGGTACCAGAAGGGGAAGAGGAACAGCAACAAGTAGAAAACTTATTTGAACAAATAATAAAGGAGAACTTCTCCATTCTGGCAAAGGAAATAGACTTCCAGAAAGTCCAGAAAGCTCAGAGAGTCCCAAAGGAGGCATACATGGAAACACTGGACCCAAGGAAGCAGTAACAAAGGCTCATCATAATTACGTTACCCAAAATTAAAGATAAGCAGAGAATCTTAAAAGCAGCAAGAGAAAAGGAGACAGTTACCTACAAAGGAGTACCCATCAGACTGTCAGCTGATTTCTCAAAAGAGACCTTATAGGCAAGAAGGGGCTGGAAAGAAGTATTCCAAGTCATGAAATGCAAGGACCTACATCCAAGAGTGCTCTATCCAGCAAAGCTTTCATTTAGAATGGAAGGGCAGATAAAGTGCTTCTCAGATAAGTTCAGGGAGTTCATCATCACCAAGCCCTTATTATATGAAATGTTAAAGGGACTTATCTAAGCAAAAGAAGGTAAAAAATACGAACAGTGCAAGGCCAGCAAATTCATGTTATTAATAAACACACCTAAAACAAAAGCAAACTAAGCAGACAGCTAGATCAGGAGCAGAGCCACAGAAATGGAGATCACTTGGAGGGTTAGCAACGGGAGTGGGAAGAGGAGAAGGTACAGAGAATAAGTAGCATACACGGTGGGGAGAAAATAGACAGGGGGAGGGCAAGAGTAGTGTGGGAAATGTAGAAGCTAAAGAACTTATGACATACAGACATGAACTAAAGTGGGGGGAATATGGGGGGAGGGGGTGTGCAGGGTGGAAGGGAATGAAGGGAGGGAATGTAACAATGGTAATGGCATAACCAATAAATATATATATTTTAAAACCACATATTCCAATGCATAAGACTGCCCCACAGCAAAGAACTATTTGGCCAAACTTTCAATAGTACCAAGAGACTTTGCAAACCACTTTTGACACATTCGATCAGTCACAGCACTATCTCTATACACTGCACAAATGTTTTCTTATGTTTCAATTGCACTTTTGCCTTTCTTGAAATAATAAAACATAATACGCTGACAATGTTGCATGTTTCCTTCCATCTTCAATATTAAAATGGCTGTAGAAAAATTTACCAATTTTGATAAGTTTTTAAAAAAATGTCTTTAACAGGAACATAATCAACAAAAGAAAAAAGCAAACAAAATATAACTGGAGACACTGAAATTAACAACAATCTAACAATAGCCAGAGGGAAGGGAGAGGGGTCAATAGGGGAGAGGGTTTTCAGGAATTGCTATAAAGGACACATGGACACAACCAAGGGGGAGGGTGGAAGCAGGGAGAAAGGTGGGTTTGGCTGGGGTTGGGGGGAGTGGTGGAGGGTAAAGGCAGACAACTGTAATTGAACAACAATAAAATAATTTTTTTAAAAATGCATGCTGATAGGACAAATGTCACAACACAATTTAACAAAATTGTTTCAAATGAAGTTAAACACAACTAAGCACCACTAGAGCCATTGTAGGAAAAAATCTTAACGGACTTTTTGGCCAACCCCAAAAGTACTATGGACAAGCAGTGTAACACAGTAGTATAGCGTCATTTTGCAGCCAAACCTCCTGGGTTTGAATCAACATTATGTACTGGCCGAGTCATCTAGGGCAAGTTACCTGACTTCCTTCTGCCTCAGTTTCTTCCACAAACCAGAGATAATAATCATAGGATTTTATGGATATTAAAAAAGTTAAGTTAGAGGACTTCCGACAAGATGGAGGTGTAGGTGGAAACACTTTGCTTCCTCGCACAACCAAATCTAAAAACAACAAAGTTTTAACAACAATAAATGCAACCAAACCACACAGAAAATCAAACAATATGGAGTCCGAAAATAACGAACCCCTCAGCTAAACCGGTGAGAGGGGCGAAACCAGCAGCAGATCTTTCGGGCGAAAAAAATCCCCTGACCCGGGTGGTGCGCAGGCAGCCAAGGGCGTGATCCCAGGTGCGGGCTAGCTACAGGCGGCCCCAGGGAAGGTGCGTGGCTGGCTGTCTGCAGTCGGTCTCACATTTGCTCGCAGATAAACCAGTGAAGATACGAGCGTTGAGACAGATCTTGCAGGGCCCGGTGCAGGGCAGTGGGCTCGCACATTTGTGCTCAGATAAACAGGCCGGGGCGAGTGGTGAGGCAGACTGGACAAGCAGAGAGGACATCCATTGCTCCCTCTCTGACCCTGCCCCCACATACAGCATCACAAACCAGCGATTTGGGTGGCCCCGCCCTGGCGAACACCTAAGGCGCCTCTTCTCATATGTAACAGGCACAAACAGATCAAAACATGGCTCAAGAACAATTCAGAGCCTCATAGCCCCAGAGCCAATAAATCTAAGCCATAAAGAAATAGCTAAACGTTCAGATGCACAGTTCAAAACACTGGTGATCAGGATCCTCACAGAACTGGTTGATTTTAGTCACAAATCAGAGGAACAAATGAAGGCTAAACTAATTGAAATGAATGGTAATGCACAGGAAACCAATAGTGATGGAAAAGAAACTAGGACGCAAATCAAGGGAACAATCCAGAAGAAAGGAAAAAAATGACCTAACAGAAAAATATGAAGAATCAAGAATTCAAAAAAATGAGGAGAGACTTAGGAACCTCCAGGACATCTTTAAATGCTCCAACATCTGAATTATAGGGCTACCAGAAGGAGAAGAGGAACAGTCATGAGTGGAAACCTTATCTGAACAAATAATAATAAGAGTACTTCCCCATTCTGGCAAAGGAAATAGACTTGCAGGAAATCCAGGAAGCTCAGAGATTCCCAAAGAAGTTGGACCCAAGAAGGAACACACCAAGGCACATCACAATTGCATTAGCCAAGATTAAAATGAAGGAGAGAACCCTAGAAGCAGCAAGACATAAGGGGACAGTCACCTACAAAGGAGTTCCCATCAGACTGTCAGCAGATTTCTCAAAAGAGACCTTACAGGCAAGAAAGGGCTGGAAAGAAGTATTCCAAGTTATGAAATCCAAAGACCTACATCCAAGATTGCTCTATCCAGCAAAGTTTTCATTTAGAATGGAAGGACAAATAAAGTGCTTCTCAGATAAGGTCAAATTCAAGAAGTTCATCATCACCAAGCCCTTATTATATGAAATGTTAAAGGGACTTACCTAAGAAAAAGAAGATAAAAAAGATGAACAGTGAAAGGACAGCAAACTCACAGTTAGTAACAACCACACCTAAAACAAAAGCAAATTAAGAGGACAGCTAGATCAGGAGCAGAACCATAGAAATGGAGACCACATGGAGAGTTAGCAACAGGGGAGTGGGAGAAGAAGGGGGGAGAAGGTACAGAAAATAAGTAGCATAGACAGTAGATAGAAAATAGACAGGGGGGAGGGTAAGAATAGTAGGGCAAATAAAGAATCTAAAGAACTTGAGACACGTGTTCATGAACTAAAGGGGGGGAATGGTGGGGGAGGGGTGTGCAGGGTGGAGGGGAACGAAGGGAGGAAATAGAACAAATGTAATGGCATAATCAATAAAATAAAAAATATATTAAAAAAGAAAAGAAATGAAGAAAAAAGTTATTTAAGGCATTAAAAATACAAAATTAGTGTTTATTTATTGTTGAGTAAAAGAAAAGGAAAATCTCCATAGTATATTTCTTTTTTTTTTAAGATTTTTAATTTATTTTTAGAGGGGAAGGGAAGGAGAGAGGAAGAGAAATATCAATGTGTGGTTGCATTTCATGCGTCCCCTGCTCGGAAATGGCCTGCAACCCAGGCATGTGCCCTGACTGGGAATCGAACTACCATCCTTTGGTTTGGAGGCCCACACTCTATCCACGGAGCCACACCAGCTGGGGCTCCATAGTATATTTCTAAATAAAAAAACAAGCAAACAAAAAAACCAAGGTAAAGAACAGTATGAAAAATAAACTACATAAATATATGTCCACAAAAGTAAAGACTATCGAAGGCTAAACAAGACAGGAAAACAGTAAATCCCTCTGGAAAAGAGATCCTGTTATCTGTGGAACAGGAAAAGAGAAATGTACTCTCCTCCTCATATTTTTATGTAAATAGGTTTCTACAATGTATTACCTATTCAAATAAGGAAATAAAATTAATTTTAAATCAATAATTAACAATAGCACTTACAAAGTCAGAAAAAAAATGTGCATTTTGAACACAAGTATCACTCTAGGTAAAAAGAAATCAAGTAGTAACAATTTGATTGTTTTTTCAAAAATTTGATCTTTAATAAACTGTTTCTTGCCAGAATTACTACAGTGGTCAGTTTCCCTTGGCTCCTAAAGCATTTTCTGGTCTTCGTCATTTGTGACCTACTTTTGTAACTCTTACATCTTGCCTTTCTTCCTTTTATTTTTTCATGTTCTCAGAGATATCCTCCTTTATTATCTACAATAAACTGTATTTTGACAGAATATCTCACATGCTTTTCTCTTCCAAAGCTCTCACTATGTCTATTGAATTTTTTATTTATGTCAGGAATATAAAGGAAAAAGAAGGGTAATCAAATCTGCATTTGATTTCACTCAATGATGTTTGAAGTACAGATATTGGTGGATATTGCATATGTACATACCCTCACACACTATCTACTTAAAGTATATAAAAGCTATTTTATATTTTAAGAATACTGATATCTATTTCAAAAATATTTATTACTGCTAATATTCTTTTCAAAATTACAGTGTGATTTGAAAAGTTTTCTGTAGAAGCCCTCGAGTGTATGTTTATTTTTTAAATTATTTATTTATTTATTTATCTTCAGAGGGGAAGGGAAGGAGAGAGGGAGAGAAATATCAATGTATGGTTGCCTCTCATGTGCCCCCTGCTGGAAACTGGCCTACAACCCAGGCATGTGCCCTGGCTGGGAATCGAACCGCAATCCTCTGGTTTGCAGGCCTGCACTCAATCCACTGAGCTACACCCAGGGCTTTCGAGTGTAACTGTTTAATTCAGCCTCTGCCACTTACTAGCTGTGTTACTTTGAGTAAGTTACTTAACTAACCTCCTTCTACCTCAGTTTCCTCATATGTAATCTTGTTATTAATAGTAGGCCCAAACACTGGGATGTTGTAAAAGTAGGTTAAATAAGGTTATAGACATTTCAAACAATGTCTGACCCATGGTGAGACCTTAAAACATGTTAATATTAATAATATTACATAACTGTTATTATTATTACTAAAAATTATAAAAGTATATGGACTAGTTGGGAATGGGTTTGGCTAAAGAGTATGAAGTGACACTAATTTTTTTTAAGTGAAATTTATCTAAAGCTTTTTAAATGTTATTCAATCAAGTATATAATTAGAATTCATTATACACTATATTATTTAAAATTAAGATTTTATTTCTGGAAAGAATATTCAACCATACATACAAAATAAATGTTTCCTTTTTTTTAAAGTCCTCATCTGAGGATATTCTTTTCTAATCATTGCTTTTTAGAGAGAGAAGAAGGGACACAGAAACTACGAATGTGAGAGAAAAGCACTGACTGGTTGCCTCTCCTCCATGACGGGACCGGGAATCAGGCCGGGGATCATATGCGTCGGGACAGGGGAATGCATGCACCTCGCCTGCTGGACTGGGGGTCAAACCATAGCCTAGGCATGGTCCCAAATAAGAATCGAATTCACAACATTTTGGTTACAGAACGATGCTCCAACCAACTGAGCCACACCAGCCATGGCTGAATGCTTAATTTTTATTTTAGACTATTCTTCAAAGACCTATATTCTTAATTCTAATGCTTCTTATTGTCTATTATTTTCCCTATTCAGGCTACAAAAAAGTCCAGTGAATAATATATCTCATATTATTTAATATCTAGAGAAATGCCGTAACACTTTCTATCTTGTATCACTGTAACATTAAAAAAAAATTCTTCCAATATCAAATACTTCCTTTAAGCCATACTGCTCCTAACTTCCTTTATGTATTATACCTTAAAAGATTCAAAGAGTAGAACTGAAAAAGAGCTGAGACAGTACTGTTGGAGATATATAAAATATCTATTCTAAGCATCAAAAGTTAATTTTACTGGAAGGAGTTGAAGAAAATACATCTTTTTCATCAAAAAGCTTTGTGGAACTTCAGCAAAATGCAATGTCCCTCCCTTACCTAATGGGTCAGAATCTCTGGGAGTAAGGTGCAAAAATCTTCACTTTAAACAAGCTTCCAAGTAATTTTTTTTTGGTTTACTGTCACTTTAAGAACAAGTAAGGAATAATAAAACAGAAAGGGTTAATTTCAAAAGCTTCATGTAGGAGGTGAATCTTGAGCAGATTTCAAGTAGGAACATTAAGTAACAGGGAGGAGGGAGCAGTTATTACCAACCGAAGGGATGATATATGAGATAACTCAGTTTCCAGAGATGTTTCAGCATCCTAAGTATACATAAGGGACCACACCTATCCTGAATAAGCAGTAGGGGCACAGTGGACAGACAGGACTGTAAACCAAAACTACTATTGATTAGAAAAACACCAGGCTTTCATTGTTTCTTTTTATTAATCATCATCTGAGGATATATTTCTATTGATTTTAGAGACAGGAAGGGTGGGGAGAAAGAAACATCCATGTGAGAGAGAAACAATGATCAGTTGCCTCCTGTTCTCAACCTGATCAGAGACTGAATCTGCAACCCAGGTATGTGCCCTCACTCACCCTGATTGGAGACTGAACCTGCAACCCAGGTATGTGCCCTGACCCAGAATGAAAACTGCAACCTTTTGGTGTACGGGACTATGATCCAACACCCTGAGCCACCCAGCCAGGGCCCAACATTGAAATTTTAAGAGACTTTTTCTTAAGCTAGAAATGGCTTCAGGTTATCCCAATGGGTCCCTGGAATATCGAAAGCAGGGGTGTCGAACTCATTTTCACCTGGGGCCACATGAGTCTTGCAGTTGCCTTCAAAGGGCCAAATGTAATTTTAAGACTGTATAAATGTAACTAACTACTCCTTAACTAGGGGCAAGGAGCTCCGTGCTGCTGCCGGGTAGAAACAAGGTGCTGGGTCAGATAAAATAAGGTGGAAGGCCGGACTCAGCCCACAGGCCTTGTGTTTGCTACATGTGATCTAAAGGATTTATTTTTTCTCCTTATAAAAGAGGAATTTTAAACCACTGGCTCTGTTTGATATGCTTAAAGTTATATGGGAAGCTTTGTCAAATAGAGAAATAATAATTTGTTGAATTTGCACACACAGAGTAATAGTAAAATAAATGTTCTAAAGATTTTATAAAACTTTCCAACAATTTACCAAGTTTTGATAAAACTTCATCTACAATTCTAGTTGTTATGTTGGAATGTTGTATCTTACACAAAAGCAAAGTTCTTTGTCAATTGCATTATAATCAGATCTATAACCATGTCATTTTAAGTTTTGTCATTTACAGATGGTCATTGTTTTACTGTGATGAATTGCAAATAGGTTTCATCTCAACAATCCGTGAAAAGGACCCTGATTTATTTTAAAATGCAGTTTGCTGGGAATAAATTTTCAGATAACTTTAAACTTGATTCAGATTTATAGAACTCTAAAGAATATCTGGACTTATAGAAATACTGGCAGATGATCTGGATGAACAAGAATTGATTATGTGGGGCTGACTGAACTTAAATTATTATTTTATGACTTTGTTTAAAATATTGCTGATTTAAAAAAATTTTTGTTGTCCATATATAAACTTTTTTTCTTAAAGTAGTTTGGTAAATTATACCTTTGTAAGCAATATTGAAACCTTTATATTTTTCTCCCTACCTGATCCCTCCAGAATTTGGAAACTCTTAGTGAGTATTATTTAATTTTTATGGCAATATGGTTATTTGTATGAATTCAATGAGAATCTGTTCTTTTATAACAGGACACAATTGGAAACTGGTTTTATTAACCAAGACCTTGAGTGAAATGTCTAATTTGAGAGAGACATGCATATAGACTCTGGATGTCACTAGAAAGCTGTAAAGAATTAATTTTGACTTTGGAAGCTGATAAAATCCATTTGGAAAAACGACCTGATACCTTGCTTATTTACTTGGTTCATGGCAGTCTTTCCAGGTGAAAAACGAACGCTGCTTTCCTGAGAGATGGCAAAGAAAGAACCTCAGGGCATTTTGGGAACTTTAAGACCTTGAGAATTCACCCAAATCTATGTGTATTACATGCAGATTTGGATAGCAACTATGTGGCTTGGCTTCTTTGCTCTGAGGGGCTCTGGAGATTCTTTATGAGATTCTGGCAAAGCAGACTTAAGAGAACCTATGTGATCAATTGCTATTCTTGTTAAATTTTTGTAAATAATCAAGATAAATTTATTGAAACTAGACTTATGCAGTCAATAATCTTAATTTGACCAACTTTGAAGAAAATGAGGATGATTTTAGGGAGAAAACTGTGTTTCCATAGAATCTAAAGGGTGGGGCAAATGTAGGTTTACAGTTGGTCCTACGGAAAATAATACAATAATTAATAAATAATAATACAATTATAAACTGTTTCACATACAACTAAAAAACTTACTTTTGCTACACTCTGTACAATATACAGTTGTGGATATTAGAGTCTAGTTCACTTTACTGCCTTTAAAGTTTTATTTTTCACCTATATACTAGACTGAATCCTGAATTTTCTAGTTGTCCTAAATAGCTGGCTATCACCTTCCAAACTAATGTTTCATTTTTCTTCCATCCTTTGACTTGGAATTAAGAACTAACACTTTTTTGAGCCCTGCAATAGCAAAGGCAACTAAAGGACACAATATAAACCAGAAAAATTGCCACAATAACTTAGTGTCAGTGACTGATGCTTCGCAAAGTCAAATTCACTGGAACACCTGACAACATCATCAGAGGCGTTGAGACAGCAGACAATGTTTCTATCAGTCACTGCCTGCCTTCATTTCAGCGAAAGAAACTTTGACACTTACATGCAGAAGTCTTCTCAACTGACATCCTTACAGACTCAGAAACTGGTTTATAATTTGCTCTAATCGTCACCCTTCTTGTTTGTTCCTTCTGTATCATAGACATACCCCTTATTAAACACCTGACTGTGTGCGCACACACAGTACAGGCCTCACTTTGAGAGCCCATGTGCAGCACCAACTGCTGAAATGAGACTCAACACGTTTATTTGAACTGAATTATTCTCAGAACTGAATGACTGAATCAATAAAATTTGGAGCAAACTACTACCAACTTAGCTTCTTGAATGTGAAAGTTTGTTATTTAAAGTTTCAGCTCTGGTGAGTAGCTCAGTTGGTTAGAGCACTGTCCCCTTACGTCACGGTTGCTTCAGATTTGATCCCAGGTCAGGGCACGTACAAGAATCAACCAATGAATGTATTAATAAGCAGAAAAACAAAATGATGTTTTTCTCGCTCTCAAATTCAATAAATTAAAACATTTTAAGATAAATAAAGTTTCAAAGATGAAACTAAAGGGACAAAAATTATGTCAACCTGAAGCTGCAAAAACTCAGAAAGTTAAGACTTCCCTCCCTTTCCTACCTAAGAGAGACAAACAGAAAAACCTGCTTCAGAAAGGAGATTTTAGGATCTGCCTTAGCCTAATTTGAATTAAGTACAGTAAACAAGAGGGCTTCAGGCACTTGCTTGTTGCCTAGATACCCGCTGTGTCCTGTTGTTTCTGAGTGACCTAGGAGGAATTTTCCTGCCCTGTGTGTAGTGCTCTTTTTCCTTTAAAGATTTTATTTATTTATTTTTAGAGATGGGAAGGAGGGAGAAAGAGAGGGAGAGAAACTAAAAGTGAAAGATGCATCAGCTGGTTGCATCTTGCATGTGGCCAGCTGGGGACCTGGCCTGCGATCCAGGCATGTGTCCTGACCTGGAATCGAACCAATTACCTTTCAGATAGCAAGCCAGCCTCAACCCACTAAGCCATACCAGCCAGGGCTGTGCTCCTTATCAACTACCTGTAAGTGGCCCATTCTCACTTCTAAAATCTAATTCCCCATTTCCCCCTTCTCCTTTTTCCTTTGCTTAAATAGATTAATTTACCCAACGTTGTCTCACTGTTTTTTGAGAATTTTCATGGATTTATTGTATCTATGTAAATTCCAATGCACATAAATTAAACTTTTATTTTCTCCTGTTTAAAAAAAAGTCATTTTGGTTTTTGTACTAAATTATTACAGTCAAACATCTGTAAACATAAACTTTCTTTTTTTAAAGATTTTATTTATTTATCTTTAGAGGGGAAAGGAAGGAGATAGGGAGAGAAATATCAATGTATGGTTGCCTCTCGTGTGTCCCCTGCTGGGAACTGGCCTGCAACCCAGGCCTGTGCCCTGCCTGGGAATCAAACCGCGATACTCTGGTTCGCAGGCCGGTGCTCAATCCACTGAGCTACACCAGCCAGGTAAACATAGAACTTTCATATAAGGGAGACTTTCTTTCAAAACAACCAAAAGATAAGCAATCATATAAATTTAGGAGTTTATTTAAATTTATAGTGGAAAATGTAAAATAAGAAATTTTATTATATTAAATTAATTCTAATGTAATATGTGTTTCCACATCTGTAAGTGACAGTTTGAAACTAGGAAATTAAGTCCTGTATAACTCAAATTTTAAAACTGTATGATATACAAATTCCTCAAACTTTGAATTAAATATACCAGGTTGTTATAAAACTGTAAGATAAACTTATTCTGATGATTCAGATAACCCTGAAATATTAGAATACTGATAGCTGCACCCTGCAAACAATCTATCAGTACTGCTTTCAGACTTCGTGTTAGTATGTGTTCTGAGTGAATGATGAGCAATAAATAACTATTTGGACTGCTCATCTTAATAGCATGCAACACAGCTATTTATTGAGGAGTTATAAAAGGCCCTATAATTATAGATTCCTGAAAGTCTCATCAACATAAAAGAAACATCATTCGCTAATACCAGTGAATATCATGCCAAACATAACTGAATGAATACCTTAAATTCTGAAATGTTCAGATTAAATAAAAATTTGAGATATTTATGTATACAAAAACAGGCAGCACCACTTCACCATCTGAATATCACTGTAAATCTCCTTTGGTTAAATAGGGGGAAAAAACCTGTCCATGGTATTCTTGCCTTGTAACCCTGCCATTCTTCCTATGCACATTACATGTTTTCCATGTACTATAAGAAGTGTCCATAGGACACTGCATAGAAGTGTCCATGGGAACCAGATTGCATTTCTACTGAAACTAAATCTGGGGAAAGTAAGCTAATCATAAAGAAGTTTTGCACAGAACGTATAAAATGTTTCTCGGTGTAAGATGATTTTATGATGTAATGGGAAACGCCTTGAGAAAATCTGATTCCTTAGACCCTCCCAATTATTGGCTCTTAAATTAAGGGACTGGTCTCCTCGCAATTTAAAACACAGATAAAACAAGACAGTAGTCCAAGAATAAATTTTGCATCTATAAGAGAGTTTTAAAACCTAATTTATGAACCACGAAAAACTGAAAAGTGGGAGGCCAAAAAAAGTGAGCAAAATATAAAATATTTACTATTACTCTTTCCAAATTGTCAGGCTGACTCTGCTGTCATACTTGCCATTTTCACAAACCCACTAATATGATCATGAGCCCTAATTTTAAGAATATAATTACGAACTTTTAAAGCTAACGTAACAATCATAATGCAGGAGCTTTACTACAGACTAGAGATCCAGAAGATACAACTTTGCGTCTACCAGAAAATTAGCAGTCACACCCCTTAAAAAGAGAACTGAGGCTGTTCCTCACTAACTTTCATAAAGGGTGGCGTTCGTTTAAAATTCATTACTTCATTGCCTGGTTCGACCATATTTGTTTCGGAATTATAAGTAGTATAAAACAGTAGGTTTTATAAACACCGATTCGGACAGAGTAAAGCTAAAAACTTTTACCAACGCCTGAATCTTTTGGGGGGAAAGCACCCCATACTACGGTGAAGCTGAGTCTTAGTCACCTAACAATTCATTATAAGGATATTATAATTAATCACAATTATATTCTACGCAGCACGAGAATTAAAACCGTTCAAAAACTCAGCCAAAGCCCAATAATAATGTACTCACGAACAGTGTTAGAACTTCGTGTTCTAAGAAAAGCATTACTATTAAAATATGATTTGATGGCTAAGTCTCTAGGTTTCCTCAAGCATTTAATTTTTTAAACCTAAAATGAGCCTGTTTGTGCAAAGAGAAGTTTGGGAGGGGAACAAACGGCCAAATTAAAATAACCACGGAGACCAAAGAGAACTCCGAGTACTTTAACTGCCCCAGGCTGTGCGGGGCGAGGACAAGGAAGCTTACCTGCCAGCGACCGTAGGTGAGGAGGATCATGGAAATGGGGATGGCGGTGCCGGCCATGGCATGGGTGGAGGGCATGCTGTACTCGGAATTGTAGAAGACCTCCAATTTGATCACGGGCGGCGAGGGGGGCCGCGGCCAGCGGATGATGTCCTTGGTGCACTGGCCCAGGTACATGACCAGCACCCAGATGGCCACAAGCCTCCGGCCCACCAGGGCGTCTACGTTCCAGATCCAGAAGGGGAAAAACGAGATGTAAAAGATTTCGTTGCCCAGCTCCGTGCCGAAGCAGAACAGGTAGTAGAGCGGCCAGTTGCTCACCTGGGCCAGCTGGCCCTCCTCGCCGGTCAGCGAGTTTCGCCGCAGGGCGCCCGCTCGCCGTGGCGAGGCTGGGCCCAGGTCGGTTGCCAGCCCGTTTCGCACGCCGTTTGGGGTGCCGCCGCCGCCCGACTTGGCGGGGCACTGATTGCGGTCGCTCCCGGGAGGTTGGGGGCCTTCGCACGCCCCTGGCTGCCGCTCTCGGCAACGGGAGTCTCCGGAGAGGGGAGCCTCCGCCTTCTCATCCTCCTTCGGGTCAGCGGCGTAGCGGCTCCGCGGTACTTCCACCCCACACAACCGCTGGAAACGGGCCACTTTCTGCGGCTCCCGCAGACTGCCAGCCAGCTGAGCGAGGCGCAGCCTCAGCGACATGATACCGGACCCGCGCGGCCCACGAACGGGAGGACGGTGGTAGGAGGGCAGGTCGGCGCGGCACAGCGCCGAATTGCTCCCGTGCGCCTGGTTAGCGTCCGCAGCAGCAGCACCTAGCTCCACGAGCTGGGTTCTGCCGGGTGACGGCGCCACAGGCCGCAGCGGCCGCCGCGCGCCCCGCCCTCCTCGGCGCGCGCTCCGCCACCGCCCCCAGCCTCCACGCGCCGGCGCGCGGAGCCCCGCCCCGCCCCCCTGTGTAGCTCCGCGGGGGAGCCCGGCGGCGCGCGTCCGCGCCAAGTGCACCCTGCCGCGTCCGGGTGCTGAGGCTCACCCCACGGTGGCCCTCAGGT